ACAAATAAATACAGATTTTTTAAAAGTTTACAATTTTTTATGAGTCAAATGAGGAAATTCAAACATTCATCTGATATTTGGTGAAGTTAAGAACTTACTAATTTTAAAATATATATAGTAATAACATTTGGTTATGTTTGTTTTATTATTTTATTTTATTTTATTTTAGAGATAGAGCATGAACAGGGTAGAGGGTCAGAGGGAGAGAGAGAGAAAGAATATTAAGCAGACTCCATGCTCAGTGAGGAGCTCCACTAGAGGCTCAATCCCACAACCCTGGGATCACGACCTGAGCGGAAATCCAGAGTCAACGCTCAACGGACTGAGCCACCCAGGCGTCCCCATGTGGTTATGTTTTTAAAAAGAGAATTATCTTGGGGCACCTGGGTGGCGCAGTCGGTTAAGCGTCCGACTTCAGCCAGGTCACGATCTTGCGGTCTGTGAGTTCAAGCCCCGCGTCAGGCTCTGGGCTGATGGCTCAGAGCCTGGAGCCTGTTTCCGATTCTGTGTCTCCCTCTCTTTCTGCCCCTCCCCCATTCATGCTCTGTCTCTCTCTGTCCCAAAAATAAACGTTGAAAAAAAAATTAAAAAAAATAAAAAAAGAGAATTATCTTTTAGAAACATACTAAAACATTTCAGAAGAAATACGATGTCCCTGATACGCTTCAAATAATCAGGGTAGGGGAGTGGATGAGAGCATAAATGAAGGAAGAATGGTCATGAATTGATAATTATTGAATTGGGGTGATGAGAAGGGTCATTATACTATTCCCTATACTTTTGTGTATATTTAAAATTTTCTACAGTAAGAGCTTTTTAAAAGTTCTTCTTTATAATTACTGACCTGGAGATCTAAAAAAATAAGCGAGAAAAGAAAACTACAAAAGCCGTTATGTAAAGATTATACTAATTACTGTCATGGTCTAGTAGGGGAGATAAGAAAGTAAAGATGCAATTATGATACAATGCGATTAAACTCTATCATAGAAGTATCGCAGGGTAGTATATGTGTAGGCCAGGGTCACTCAACCTAGTCTGGAGTATCGGGGAAAGAGAAAGATGTGGAGAATAGCACTCTGCCCAGAGTGGACATGAATTATAGCTCTGTTTGGCTTCGATGATGACCGAGACCCAAGTGTACGTCCACCTGCTGCTACTCCTGGCCTCTGTTTTAATCATTCTCTCTATGTCCTCTGAGACATCTATTTATCTGAAAACACAGTCTCAGTCTGTACACCCGGCACCTTCTTGCCTTACCAGAAACCTGACTCTTCCTGGAGACGTGGCCTCCCTGTGGACCTTCCAGGTAGAGGCCATCTGTCTTCCCACAGCTGGTCCTTGTGGCTGAGGGCAGGCAAGGCATTGACTTTTCCTTCTGGATACCATCCCACCCCATGCCACCTCCTGTTCCTCTTTCTCCTCTTATGTCCTCAACCTCTTCTCTCCATTGGTCTTTTATTATCCAACTATGTTCAAGTTTCTGCATCCTAGGGGTGCCTGGCTGGCTCAGTTGGCAGAGCATGTAACTCTTGATCTCTGCGTTGTGTGTTCAAGCCCCACGTTGGGTGTGGAGCACACTTAAAATGAAAAGAAAGTAAGAAAGAAAAAAGAAAGGAAGAAAAGAAGGAAGGAAGGAAGGAAGAAAAAAAGGAAGAAAGAAAGGAAGAAAGAAAGAATGTTAGTTTCTGCAACCTGGTCATAGAACCAAAAAAAAAGAAAGAACTATGCCCAACGTGAAGCTTGAACTCACAACCCTGAGATCAAGGGTTGCATGGTCTTCCAACAAAGGTAGCCAATTGCCCCATAATGCCTTTCTTTCTTTCTTTCTTTCTTTCTTTCTTTCTTTCTTTCTTCCTTCCTTCCTTCCTTCCTTCCTTCCTTTCTTTCTTTCTTTCTTTCTTTCTTTCTTTCTTTCTCCTCTTTCTCTCTCTCTTTCTTGAGTGCAAGCTGGGGAGTGGCAGAGGAACAGGGAGAGAGAGAATCTCAAGCACCAACATGGGGCTCTATCTCACAACCAGGAGATAATGACCTGAGCTGAAATCAAGAGTTGGAAGCTTAACTGATCGAACCACCCAAGCGCTCTCATTTCTGATTTGAGTAATTTGAATCTCCATTCTATTCCCTTGGCCACTCTAGCTAAAGATTTGTCAATTATGTTGATGTTTTCAAAGAACCAATTTTTGAGTTCATTGCTTTTCTCTATTGTTTTTCTATTGTCTACTTAATTAGTTTCTCTTCTAATTCTGATCATTTCCTTTCTCTGCTTGTTTTGGGTTTAATTTGCCCTTCTTTTCCCAATGTCATGAGGTGAAAGCCTAGCTTATTAGGTTTCTTCTTTCTAAAAGGTGTTTAAAGCTATTAATTTCCCTTGCAACAAATATGCAAGCTCAAATTTGTTTTCATTTTCATTTATCTCTAAGTATTTTCTAATCTCTTTGTGATTTCCTCTTACTGAAAGTAATGCTGCAATTTCCAAATGCAAAGGACACATCAGGTGCACTCAGTGTAGCGCTAGACATAGTAATTACTCCCTCTTTAAAATTCTGTCTTCCAAAGTTAAGAAAAAAATTTTAACTGCTTTTCCTCTGTTTATTCTTATTCAGATACTTTCATGGACTCCTCTTCTTCCACTAACCCACTAAATGTTAATGTTCTTTGTTATTCCTCAGCAGGACAAAAATAGACCCAAGAATCAGAATGGTACTGAAGAGGTCCACCTTGCTCCAGTCTATTGTACTTTCCATGGGTTTAGACAAATGTATAATGACATATATCTATTGTTATAGTATCATACAGTGCAGAGTATTTATTTGCTTTTTTTTATTTTCAGAGAGAGAGAGAGCACAAGTGGGGGAGAGAGGCAGAAGGAGAGCGAGAATCTTAAGAAGGTTCTATGCTCAGCAAGGAGCCCAACACGGGGCTTGATTTCATGACCCTGGGATCATGACCTGAGCCAAAATCAAGAGTCACATGCTCAACTGACTGAGCACCTGGGCGTCCCAGAGAGCAGAGTATTTTTATTGCTCTAAACATCCTCTGTGCTCTGTATATTCATCACTTCCCACACTCTCAACTCTGGCAGCCACTGATCTTTTTATTGTCTCCACAATATTGCCTTTTCCAGGGGCGCCTGGGTGGCTCAGTCGGTTGGGCGGCCGACTTCGGCTCAGGTCATGATCTCGCGGTCCATGAGTTCGAGCCCCGCGTCGGGCTCTGTGCTGACAGCTCGGAGCCTGGAGCCTGTTTCAGATTCTGTGTCTCCCTCTCTCTGACCCTCCCCCATTCATGCTCTGTCTCTGTCTCAAAAATAAATAAACGTTAAAAAAAAAATAAAAAAAAAATATTGCCTTTTCCAGAATATCATATAGTTGGAATCATACAGTATGTAGCCTCTTCGGATCGGCTTCGTCCACCCAGTAATACATATTTAAGGTTCCTCCATGTCTTTTCATGGCTTGATAGCTCATTTATTTTTAGCGCTGGCCAGTATTCCAGTATCTGGATGGACCCCAGTTTATTTGCCCAGTCACCTTACTGAAGGACACCTTGCTTCTCAGTTTCAGCAATACAAATAGAGCTGCTAAAAACATCCATGTACAGGTTTTTGTGTAGACATTTTCGATTCTTTTGTGTAGATACCAAGAGGTACAATCACTGGGTTGCATGGTAAAAATGTTTCGTTTTGTAAGAAACAATCAAGCTGTCTTCCAAAGTGGCTGTACCATTTTGCATTTCAGCTAGCAATGAAGGAGAGCTCTTGTTGCTCCAAATCCTTGCCAATGTTCGGTTTTATCCGTGTTCCAGATTTTGGCCTAATAGGTATGTGTATTCCATTTACTTTTCACAATGTCCCTAGATGTTACGTAATTTATAGAATATCAAACAACTTGTAAGAAGTGGAGTCATGATTTAAATCTGGTCACTTAAATTTCCAAACTGAGCTCTTTACTATGCAATATTACAGACTCTTCCAGAATCTTCCACATTACCTGCATATATAAAAATACCTTGACGTGGAGACAGATGTAGCTCCACATGCAATCCGGCAGCATGTCGGACATGAAAGCTTTCTGGTATTATTATTATTCCCTTTTCATGCATGTAATATTCTATTGCTATGTAACAAATTATCACAAACCTAGCAACTTAAAACAACCTTCATTTATGAGCTCACAGTTCTATACTTTTTAAAGAGAATATTTTATTTATTTTCTATTACTAAAAATTTTTTTGATGTTTATTTTTTGAGAGAGAGAGAGCAAGCTGGGGAGGGGCAGAGAGAGAGGGAGGGAGAGAGAAATCACAAGCAGACTCCATGCTTTCAGGGTAGAGCCCAACGTGGGCTCGAACTCACGAACAGTGAGATCATGACTTGAGCTCAAGTCGGACACTTAACCGACTGAGCCACTCAGGTGCCCCTAAAAAGAATATTTATTAAGGTAAATTACTGTTTGCTAGAACTTCCCCTGATATGGTCCACAGAACACTCATCTTGAAAGACAGTCTGTGAAATAAGGGTTCTGCAATTTGACTTGTTGGAGAAACCTCATATTCATTTCCCCTCTGAAATACTATATTCATAATGTTGTGTAAAAGTTATAGAGTCTGTGAAATCCTGCAGTATAGAAACCTGCTTAACGTTAACTCGTTATTTATCAAATTTATTTGACCACACAACCATTCTGGGAGGAAACATATATTATCATCTAGGAGAACAATTTCTGGGGAGTTTACTTTAAAAAACACAGATATAGGGGCGCGTGGGTGGCTCAGTTGGTTAAGCATCTGACTTTGGCTCAGGTCATGATCTCATGGTTTGTGGGTTCGAGCCCCGTGTTGGGCTCTGTGCTGATAGCTCAGATCCTGGAGCCTGCTTCGGATTCTGTGTCTCCCTCTTTCTCTGCCTCTTCCCCACTCATGCTCTGTGTCTCCCTCTCAAAAATAAATAAACATTAAAAAAAATTTTTTTTTAAATGCAGATATATATATAGACAACTTACTCATTTTTCCAGCAAACACAGGGTGGCCACTTAGCAGCAGGTGCTGTGCTGGGCACTCATAGGAAGAGTCAGAACCACGGTATCTTCACAACTTCATACTAGCTGTGGAGCCAGAGAATAAACAAATCATCATCAAACATTATTAAAAACTGAGATAAGAACTATCAAGAAGTATAGGGAACATGTGAGAATATCATTTAGACTGGGAAAGGGTCTTTAGATCAGGAAAGGGCAGGCTTCTTTGACAAAGTGACATTTCAGCTGAAGTCTGAAAGATGAGGGGAAGCCAATCAGGTATTGAGTAGGGAGAAGCATTCTAGACCAGGAGGATGGCGTGTGTAAATGCCTCCCAGGGTCCAGATAATACTGGGTGGGTGGATATTGACAATATTGAGTAATTTGGGGAGAAGGAAGGGTGCCTGGGTGGCTCAGTGGGTTAAGCATCTGACTTTGGCTCAGGTCATGATCTCACGGTTCATGAGTTCAGGCTCTGCATTGGGCTCTCTGCTGTCAGCACAGAGCCCACTTCAATTTTTTGTTAACATTTATTTATTTTTGAAACAGAGACAGAGCATGAATGGGGGAGGGTCAGAGAGAGGGAGACACAGAATCTGAACAGGCTCCAGGCTCTGAGCTGTTGGCACAGATCCCAACGCGGGGCTCGAACTCACGGACCGCGAGATCATGACCTGAGCCGCTTAACCGACTGAGCCACCCAGGCACCCCATCACAGAGCCACTTCAGATCCTCCTTCCCCCTCTCTCTGCCCTGCTGGTGAGCGTGCGCTCCCTCTCTCTCAAAAGAAATAAACATTTAAAAACAATTTTGGGAGAAAGATCACGAATCTTCAGTTTGGGACATGATTACCTTGAGATGTTGTGACATAAAAAGAAATACACATTTGGTCTCTCCTCCCAGTTCCTGGCACAGAGCTTCTAAAACCCTTGTAGCTTCCTGAGTCATAGGGTGAGAGGAGGTTATTCACAATAACACGTAGAGGACGGGGGCTGATTGCCAGAGGGTTGGAACTTTCAAAGCTCCCTGTACACCCCTGAAAAAAAAAAAAAGAATTAATCAATCACGCCAATGCAATGAGGCCTCCACAAAAAACCCTGAACAACAGGATTCGGAGAGCTTCTGGGCTGGTGAGTAAGTACAGGGAGATACTGAGAGGCTGGCATGCCCAGAGAGGGCCCCGAACCTCTGCCCCCATACATTCCTCCCCCACACCATGTCCTATGCATCTCGTCCCTTTGGCTGTTCCTGGGTTGTATCCCTCCATACCAAGCCAGTAACAGCGAACAGTGAAATGTCTCTCTGAGTTCCGCAAACCATTTTGGCCGGTCATCAAACCTGAGAAGAGGGTCAGGAGAATCCCTCAGTCAGAAGTACAGGTAGCAGCCTAGAACTTTTGTTTGGTGTCTGAGGAGGGAGCAGCCTTGTGGGGCAGCCCTTAACCTGTGGCATCGGAGGCTCACTCTGGATAGAGAGTGTCAGATCTGAATTGAGTTGTAGGACACTTAGCTGGTGTCCGTAGAGAATTAGGAAAGTTCTGGGTGTGGAGAAAACCCCACGCATTTGGTGTCAGAATCCTGAGTGTAGAAATGCTGTTTCCTTTTAATTAAACAAAAAAAATTTTATTTAAAAAAAAATTTTTTTTTCAACGTTTATTTATTTTTGGGACAGAGAGAGACAGAGCATGAACGGGGGAGGGGCAGAGAGAGAGGGAGACACAGAATCGGAAACAGGCTCCAGGCTCTGAGCCATCAGCCCAGAGCCTGACGCGGGGCTCGAACTCACGGACCGCGAGATCGTGACCTGGCTGAAGTCGGACGCTTAACCGACTGCGCCACCCAGGCGCCCCAAACAAAAATTTTTTTAACATTTATTTATTTTTGAAAAAGAGAGAGAGACCGAGGGCGAGCAGGGAAGGGGCAGAGAAAGACAGTAACACAGAATCCAAAGTGGGCTCCAGGCTCTGAGCTGTCAGCACAGAGCCTGACACAGGGTTGGAACTCACCGACCACGAGATAATGACCTGAGCCGAAGTTGGATGCTCAACTGACTGAGCCCCCCAAGTGCCCCTTTTTTTCCTCTTTAGATGCCCGTGAGATATTTAAGGGAGATGTAATAGATAATTGGTTATGGGTTTGGAGCTGGAAAATAGATTTAGACTGAATAGTTAAATTATAATTTGCTTGTATTTCAGTAGAAATTGACTAAAATTAAAGTAACTGGAAAAAAAGAATCACTGGTGGGTATATGAGAAATTCGTCACCAAATTTTGTGCCTATTCTAACTAGGGGAAAGATAACTGAGTGGGCCTTTAATTTAGTCTTATGAAAAGTCTAAAAAAGAACAAAGCTTTAGTCTGGCGATGATCAACGCTCTTAAAGCCCCCAGGAGTCCCAGCTGGCCACCATAGTAGCTGTTCCCAAATCCAAAGAGGAAAAGTGTTTGTGTCTGCTTAAAAATGGAGTAATTAATGATGTGGGGAAAAATAATTTTCTTTTATTTGCTTCTCAACATGACGGTTCTCTGATAAGGGATAGAGTGTTAGGATTGAATATGAAGATTGCTAGGAAAAACACATGTGAGCTGATAATGCCTGTGCTGTATGAAGAATGCTCAGATGTTCAGAAGATAAGCTGCAGGGGCCCCTGGGTGGCTCAGTCGGTTGAGCGTCCGACTTCGGCTCAGGTCACCATCTCGCGGTCCGTGAGTTCAAGCCCCGTGTCGGGCTCTGGGCTGATGGCTCGGAGCCTGGAGCCTGCTTCCGATTCTGTGTCTCCCTCTCTCTCTGCCCCTCCCCCGTTCATGCTCTGTCTCTCTCTGTCTCAACAATAAATAAAAACGTAAAAAAAAAAAAAATTTAAAAAAAATAAAGAAGATAAGCTGCAAAGATCACTAAGATAGTATCTTAAAATGTCTAGAGAATTCTCAATATAAAGCTCCTAAAGGGGCGCCTGGGTGGCTCAGTTGGTTGGGCGTCCGATTTGGCTCAGGTCATGATCTCACAGACCGTGAGTTCAGGTCCCGCGTTGGGCTCTGTGCTGCCAGCTCAGAGCCTGGAGCCTGCTTCGGATTCTGTGTCTCCCTTTCTCTCTGCCCCTCCCCTGCTCATGCTCTGTTTCTCTCTGTCTCAGAAACAAATAAAAATATTAAAAAAAAAAAATTTAAAGCTCCTAGAAAATGACTACGTCCACATGGAGTTTCGGATGCCTCAGCAATACTAATAAGAATTAGGGGGCGCTTTGGTGGCTCAGTTGGTTAAGTGTACGACTTCAGTTCAGGTCATGATCTTGCAGTTCGTGGGTTCGAGCCCTCCATCAGGCTCCGTGCTGCCAGCTCAGAGCCTGGAGCCTGCTTTGGATTCTGTGTCTCCCTCTCTCTCTCTGCCCCTCCCCTGCACATTCTCTCTCTCTCACTCTCTCTCTCTCTCTCTCAAAAATAAACATTAAAAATAAAAAAGAATGGGGAAAATAGGGTTATGGCAAGGGGGAGTGCTGGACAAGTTTCCCTGGTAACAAAGCAAAGGTGGGGCCTGCTTTTTCAGGAAGAGGACACGGGAATGTTGTGGGCCAGCAGCACTGAAGGTAAGACGCCACTTCCTGGCCCATAGCCTTGGTCAAGTTGCTTCATGTTCATCCTTGAGATCTTAGCTCAAATTTAAGGGAGCCCACCCTGCTCATCTGCTGCCCCCCCGCCTCCATATGAGGTCCCTGTCCTAGAATCTCATTGGATATGAGTTTGGAGCTAGAAAATAGCCCTTCTCTGACAGCATGTAACAGCACCGTAATTACACCATTCACTGTGCAGAGATCCTAATCCACAGCTTAGGTGAGCAAGAAATGTAATTTAATTTATACATTCAACCATGGTGGTAGAAATATAATTTCAGTCAATTTGAGGTTGCAAAGGGTTCTATATAGATGTAGGATTAAGCTTCTCTTTAAAAAATTTTTTTAATTTTTATTTATTTAAAAAAAAATTTTTTTAACGTTTTATTTATTTTTGAGACAGAGAGAGACAGAGCATGAACGGGGAAGGGGCAGAGAAAGAGGGAGACACAGAATCAGAAGCAGGCTCCAGGCTCTGAGCCATCAGCCCAGAGCCCGACGCGGGGCTCGAACTCACGGACCGCAAGATCGTGACCCGAGCCAAAGTCGGACGCTTAACCGACTGAGCCACCCAGGCGCCCCTAAAAAAATTTTTTTAAACGTTTATCTATTTTTGAGAGACAGAGCATGAGTGGGGGAGGAACAGAATCTGAAGAGAGAGACAGAATCCGAAGCAGGCTCCAGGCTCTGAGCTGTCAGCACAGAGCCCGACATGAGGCTCAAACCGTGAGATCATGACCTGAGCCGAAGTCGGACGCCTAACCGACTGAGCCCCCCAGGCCCCCCAGGAGTAAGTTTCTGTAGTTGAAGGGAGAAGAGGAGGAAAAGAAGTTATTAGAGGGTGACCATTTTGTCTTACTGTTATCTGTCCATGAAGCTGACTGTTAAGATACCTAGAGTCCTATCTGGTTCTATTTCCTTAAGTACCTAGGTTCTTGGGCAACAGCAGCCAGAGAAACCCTTGGAAAAGCTTTTTGCCCTGCCACACCTCCTCTGGGACAATGAACACAGTTTCACTATTTTATTTCTTTTATTATTATTTCTTTTAATGTTTATTCATTTTTGAGAGATGGAGAGAGACAGAGTGACAGCAGGGGAGGGGCAGAGAGAGAGGGAGACACAGAATCCTTAGCAGGCTCCAGGCTCTGAGCCGTCAGCACAGAGCTGACGTGGGGCTCAAACTCATGAACCTTGAGATCATGACCTGAGCCAAAACGAAGAGTCGGACACTTAACTGACTGAGCCACCCAAGTGCCCCCTGGTTAATATTTTTAAAATAGTGTTCACACACACACACACACACACACACACACACACACACACACATATTTACTCCGTCTGGGAATGAGTAGTCAAAGTTATGTGGGAGAAATAATTTTCCAATCTTTACCAGTCTAGTGAGAAGCTTAAGGTTCTTAGAAAGGAAAGGAAAGGAAAGGAAAGGAAAGGAAAGGAAAGGAAAGGAAAGGAAAGGAAAGGAAA